GCACCCGGGGTCGCAGCCAGCGATCCAAGGGAAACCCCTCGATTCCCGGAGTCTGTGGGCAGGGGCCTCCCTCCGGGAGCCCCGGCTATTAGTCAAGAGAGTGTGGCCTCCGAATTTCGAAGTCCAGGCCAGTTCAGGGGAAGGGCCTGCTCCCAGCACTGGGCAGCCTCTGCGGTCTGGGCATCTTCGTTGGTTTCACTAACTTTTTTTTAACATCAATGCGTCGTTGCCTCTTGAGCACCCCCTACTGGGGACCTGGCCCACAACCGAAGCATGTGCCCTGACTGGGAATCTAAGCCATGACCCTAAGGTTGCGGGCCAGCACTCAATCCACTGAGCCACGCCAGCCGGGGCTGGTTTTACCAACCTCTTAACGTCGTTCTGACGGTTCATGGTTAGTGGGGGGCAGAAGAGAAATCTGTGTTTCCATTCCATTTTTTTCTCCTTAGTGTTTTTCTGTTGTTCTTTTTTGAAGCTCAGAGTTGTCCACTGTGGTGAATTTTCCCTCCCTCAACGCGTGGCTAGGGGTGTTCTCAAGTTAATGCACAAGAAAAATTGTGCGCAGTCAAAATTATCCTGGAATAAGACTGAAATTGCAGGACGCGAGGCAATATCATGATATAACCCTGGGCAGTGAGTGGCAGGCAGGTGGGAATGAAGTAGCTGCCGGAACAGACTCTGGAAGAACCAATGTCTGTTGCATCTTTCCCCGTGCATTCACGCCTCTTTGCTGTTCAGACAGAAGTTTGACTTCAAAATGTCTCGGGTGGAGCCTGCGGAGTTCGGGATGCCCCTGCTGAGAACCACAGCTTTGAGACCGCCATCAGATTCCCCCAGGTGCCTGGTGGGGGAGGAATTCTAAAGCATTTCTATTTGGCTGCAAGGCTTACTTTCTTCTCTTTTAATATTGAGCTTCAAAGACAAGTTAATACACATTGGTGGCTGTCAACTCAGGTGAAAGCCTGTAGCACTGGGCCTGGTATTTAATAGGTGCTCAATAAATGTTTACTGGACTGGAATATAGAGCTTGCTTGATCAGACCAGTGTGGAATTTCCAGTTTCATGAGTATCTGATTTTCAGCGATGACCCCATTTATTCAACATTCAGCACATAGGTTCTTGACCTCCGTCGTGCTAGGTATCGGTGCTGGGGGTATCCCAGTGATCCAGATGTGGTCTCAGCATGAATATGCAGTTTGATCTGCTAAATGCTAAGTCGGAGTGAGGAAACACAGGGAAGCTCTGGTGGGGGATGGGGTGGAAGTGGGGGTGGAGGGGGCCGAGAACTGGCTTTGAGAAGGAGGAAAGCTTATCAAGCTGGTATGACCATTACAGGCCATTGAACACAACCCAGAACTCTGACAGGCAAAGAGGTGTGGAGACACCCCAGCTCGGGTACACAGGGGGCTGCAGGCTGACCCCGAATCCCTCAGGCTACCCTGGGCTCACTGGGTTCTTGCCCTCCTGCAGCAGGATCTACTGCAGGGCACTGGCCTGTCGCTTCTGCTCCCTGCCTGGGGTCCCAGCAGCCATCAGCTCAGCTGCAGTCGGAGTTTGAATTATCCAAGAAACCGCAGGCGGCAAGTCTCAGGCCAGGAGGCAGGCAGTTGAGCTGCTCTGGACTTCTCTGGGCTTCCAGCCCAGCCTCTCCACTCTCTCCTGCTTGTCTCTTCATCTGGGGGACCCTCCTTCCCTATCGCCCCACCCCAAGTTTTCTCTCTATCAGCCACACTCTTTGTATTTTCACGTTTGAATATATCACACTGGATTTTGTTTGAAAGGGCAGATGCTGGTCTGTAATACCCATAGGAGGTCAGTGGGGGCTGAGGCGGCCGGGGTGGGGGTGCAGGTGCTCTCCGAACTAAACCACAGGTATAGCCCGAGAAGGGTTAAGAGCTTGGTCTTTGAAGAGCAGCCGCACCACTGGAATTGAAATTCCGGCTCAGCGACAGCTCATCCCCCTGACTCAGGGCAAGTTCCTTAACTCTCTTGGAGTCCAGTTTCCAGTATGTATAATGGGTATTACAATAATAGGGCTTTCGGTATAGGATTGTTGTGAGGCTAAGAAAATGTATGTTTAGAAAGCACTTAGTACCACGCCCGACCTGTATATGGTAAGCACTCAGTAGAAGTCAGTATGAACATTACTATTGTTATTATTAGTAATGATTACGAAGCAGCATCCTGTGGACTGTGAGTTCTCACTGGAAGAAGGCTTGGCTCCGGAAACAGTTTAAACTTGCTTATCATCCAATGGACACGCGCTCCTCAGCTCCTGCGCCGCCCCAGGCAGGTGCTCCCCTCTGAGAGGCTGCCGGGATGAGTGGGAAGGGAAGGCCGGACAAGAACAGGTCATCTCCATCCCTTCATGGGTGTGCTCTGGGCTCGCCCATCGATTTCCCTGGACCATGGGTCCTGTGGGCTCCCTGGGTGCACTCGGGCTGGGCTTGTCCTCCAGATAACCAGATAAGTCTTTCACATTTTATTTACTTATTTATTTTAGGGAGAGGGGAAGGGAGGGAGAAAGAGGGAGAGAAACATCTGTGTGAGAGGGAAAGACATTGATCGCTGACCTTTGCATGCACCCCAGCTGGAGACCAAACCCGAAACCCAGGCCTAATGCTCTGACCAGAAATTGAACCAACGACCTTTCGCTTTTCAGGAAAAGGCCCAACCAGCTTAGCCACACTCGTCAGGGCAGATCAGCATTTCTTAAGGCCCAGTCTTTACCTTGCTCCATGTCACTGAGCCCCCTGAGGCTGGTATCCCTCCCACCTGCAGGTAGAAATCAGAGGGTCAGAGTTTTCCCAAGGTCTGTATGCAAAGGTCACATATCAGGTGAGTTCGGGCCCAGAGCTGGAGCTCATCACCACCACACTGCTCTGTCCCACCCCTGGGGCCCGCTTCGTGGGTGGGGGGACTTCCACGTGTGGCAGGGCCTGAGCTCAGTTTAATGTTCTGCTGTCGCCATCTTCGGATTCTTAATAATTCTGAACACAGGGCCCCGCATTTCCGTTTTGCACCAGGCCCTGCAAACCGTGTTGCTGGTGCTGCCCGCCCTCCTCGGTGGAGAGGGCGTCTTCCTCGCAAAGAAAACCAACTGAGGTGCGGAGCTGGGGCCTGACTGGCACGAGGTCGTGCAGCCCGAACAGGCCTCCCTCCTGGCCGGGAGAATTCTCTGGGAGCTCTTCTGTGTCCGCCCTGCCCTGGAAGGGGGAAGTTTGGGGAGGAGTCTCTGGCCGGGGTTGGGGGATGGTGTTTAAAAAAGCACTTGAAAGACCTTATTTCCTGCCTCCCACTCTGAGACCCAGCAAGACTGACATCGCGTTATCTGGAGGGGTGGACACGGATGCTCAGACACCCGGGGCCGGTGCTCCGTGTGGCATTCCGGTTGAGGCAGGCACTTCTGTGTGTCTGCATGTGCTTGTGCGCGCCTGTGTGTGCACGCCACGGGGGAGGTGAGAAACGGATTCCAGATTTAGCTGCTTTCATTCACTTTTTAATTCCACAGATAGTTCAGATTTGGGGGATACAGCCCCAGAAATACAAATGTCCTCAGGATGCTTATATCTAGTAGGTAAGGCAGACTATAAAACATTGTATCTAGTAGGTAAGGCAGACTATAAAACAGATCATTATCCCTGGCTGATGTGGCTCAGTGGATTGAGTGCCAGCCTGAGAACCAAAGGGCTGCTTGTTCGACTCTCTGTCAGGGCACATGCCTGGGTTTTGGGCCAGGGGCCCAGTAGGGGGTGTGTGAGAGGCAACCACAGCTGATGTTTCTCTCCCTTTTTTTGTCCTTCTCTTCCCCTCTCTCTAAAAGTAAATAAATAAAATCTTTGAAAAAAATAGGCACACGAATACAGGTATTTGCTGCCTAGTGCCCAGTTCTTTTTCTCCACAGACTAATTCACAGTCAGCAATAATGGGGTTAATGGTGTGCCATTTGCCAAGATGGGTGGGAACCCCATGCCATGCCAGGGGACACCACCGCAGGCCTTGGCATTTTGGAGGCATTTGGGTCATGGCTGGGAATGGGACTGGTCTTGGTGCTCCAAGTCACTCCAGGGATGCCTGAGATTCCACTGGGGGGTTGGGGAGTCTTTCCTTACAATTAAGCTTTATTGTTTTTCTGAGACCCTGTTTAAAATTCAAATCCCTGGGAGAAGGGGGTGGCAGGTGGTCTCACTAAGTTCATAACGTGGCAGTGCTGTGTCATGAGGCAAGGCTGCCCAAGGGCTCTGGACCCCCAAAGATGCCCCTGATGGGTACCACAAGGGGCTCCAGAGGCCACAAAATAATCCTCTCCATCACCCTCTGCTGCTGACTCAGCCCAGCTCTGCCGGCAGAAAGGAGAGCCAGAGGGAGGCAGGGGAGAGGGAGGCCCGCTCAAAAACCCAAACCCAACTCCTGCAGCCTCACTCTGCCAGCCGAAAAGGCCAGAGACCCCAGGCCGCTCTCACCTGCGACACCCCCCAGCCACCCTCCAACCTGCCGGCCCTGCAGAGTCTGACACCCCTCCCCCACTGCTCCCGTGGGAACAGTCACGTTTTCCTCAGGGACAGCTCTGTGGTTGCCCGTGGGACTTGACAAGAACTTTCAAGGTCCTTGAAATTTGGCACTGTATTAGGGGGGCAGGGCAGAGGGGAGGAAGAATGTGGAACCCAGCCACCCCAGAGAGGGCCTTGAGTGAGGCGGGGCAGGTTCTCCCTGGAGCACTGTCCCGGGCGTGGCCTGGCTGCCCGGGTCCCCTCACACAAGAATCTGCATGCTTTCTCCCTTCCTTGCTTTCTTCCTCTTGGTCCCTCCCTCACCAATGTACCTGGAGGCAGGTAATAAAGCAGGAGGAGGGAGATGGATGGATGGGGAGGGCAGAGAGCCACGTGGTGCCATAAGGCCCAGCTAAAGAGGGCTGTCCTGGGAGTGCCCGGCCTACAGGAGCCAAGGCTCAGAAGGGGGACTGTTACCCTTGTCGTGAGCAGCAAGGCCTGGAGAAGGACATGCACCGAGGTGTGCCAGGACCAGGCCTCAGGGGCCCGAAGGGGGCAGAGGGCTCTGCCAAGGACTTGGGGGGCTCCTGCCTGGAGGCCGGGAAGGATTTTGGGGTGCTGAGGGAGAACGGAGTCCCTCGCGGCCTGGGCGAGGCAGAGGAGGTGCCCAACAGTAGAAAGCGCGCGCGACCCGTGCGGTCCAAAGCGCGGCGCGTGGCGGCCAACGTGCGGGAGCGCAAGCGCATCCTGGACTACAACGAGGCTTTCAACGCGCTGCGCCGGGCGCTGCGGCACGACCTCGGGGGCAAGAGGCTTTCCAAGATCGCCACGCTGCGCAGGGCCATCCACCGCATCACTGCGCTCTCCCTGGTCCTGCGCGCCAGCCCCCCGCCCCGCTGGCCCTGCGCGCATCTGGAGTGCCACGGCCAGGCGGAGAGCGCCGGGGACGCTGGGGACGCGGGTTCCAGCCGGCCGCCGTCCTCCGGGCTCTTCACACCGCGCTGTGCCCCTTGCTCCCCGCACACGCCCCTGGGACGGCCAGTGACCGAGGCACAGAGTTTGGCCCAGGCCTCCACTGGGAGCTGGCGCCGGTGTCCGGGGGCATCCTTTGCCTGGCCGCTGGGCCACCCACGGGCGGATTCCGAGCCGAGCTACCAGCACTCCTGACCTGCCCACTGAGCGCCCAGGCCAGTGCAGGGAGGAGCCAATGGCAGGATGACTACAGGGAGACTGCTAAACAAACAGAAAACCCAACCAGACTCCGCAAAACTGAATGGGCTGGCGCCTCCTCGCCTGTGGGAAGGAGCTCCGAAGCCTGGGACGGCGCACCCCACCTCCGCAATCCCGACCTGGAGTGGCAGCTCCGGGAGAGGAGCAGGACCCTGCTGGACTCTTTCTGACGTTTGGACTTGAACTGTTCTTCTAAAGTGACTTTTGTATTCACATGTCTCTGAGTCCTTGTGTCCCTCGCTGCTTTTCAGAAGGGGGGCTTTGGGGCAGGGAGACTTGTACGTGGGAGTGTGGGTGGCACCACGTGCGGTCTGATGGGACAGTGGGGGGTCCCCTGCCCCTGCCTGTGCCGATGCCCCAAATCTGTGATCTGGGAGAGGTGATCAGAAGCAGCTGAATAAAAAGGAAGCTGTCATCTGTCTGCTGCCAGCATCCGGGACTGGCCCAGGGGCCCGGGGGGGGGGCGGGCCAGAGGGACTGGAGGCCTGGGGGTTCACCCTGCAGGCCCAGGTAGGTATGCGGTGGCATTGAGTCAAGACTGCAGGCGTGGCTGAGTGTGCAAGGGGCACTGTGGGAAAGGACATTACAGGGGCCGGGGAGCAAGGCCTGGGAGACTAAGGTGTGGTCAGCCCCATCTCTGGACCCCCTGCTCATCTGCCATCGGCAGCCAGCCACAGTGAGGACTGCAGTGAAAACAGAGTCTGGGCCAGTCTCGGAGGACGAAGCTGAAGGTAGGGTCGAGGATCGGGGGTCAGCGAGTCCTGCCTGTACCCCAAGTGACGAGATGGAGCTTCCAGTGAACCAGTGCAGCCGGGGCCACTGTGAGGAGGGGTGGTCTTAGAATTCGGGAAAGATTATGGGGAGGAGGTTCAGGGAAGTAGCCCCTTTCTCCCCAGAGATGTCTGGGGATCTGCTCTCACCCAGGAACAGCGCCCCCAGCTGGCATCCGACCTCACTCAGGCCGGCCTGGCTGGTAGTGCAGGTCCCGCTTGCTGGGTGAGGGCCTGCGTGTGCCAGGAAGGGCTGAGAGCTTTCGGGACTCCGTGGAGCGTGGGGATCTTGCCAGCTGGGAAGAACAGTTATATAGCGTGGAATGGGGAGCCCCACAGGAGCTGGAGAGGTGCCCTCAGCCCTGAAGGAGAGAGGGCTCCCCAGAAGAGTTGAGGGGAGGCTTCGCCTTCTGGCTGGTGCACTTGGCCAGACCCCCAGCTCACAGACCCCCAATTTCACGTGGCAAGTGGCGGGGGCACAGGTCACAGGAAGGCTTTGACTCAGGGTCTCTGAACCTCCAGCCGCTCCCCTCTGTCCCAGGTGATTCTACTCGGGGTAGCTGTGAGGATTCACATTCCTCCGGAACACAGTTTCTGCCAATTAGAAGGTGTTCCATAAACTGTCACTGTGTACATATTGTTATGCTCTTATGCCAGATCAGCCTGGGCCATGTTCCCACCCTGCTTCAGCCCGAGGCTCTTACTCTCTGCTAACATGGTCCTATGACCTGCGGGCGCTGCTTTCCTAAATTCCAGGATAGAAAGCTGAGGGTTCACTGGTCTGGGGGTGCTGTCGGCACCAGAGTGTCAAGGGTGCCCCCTGCAGGTGGAAAAGTGAGTGTACAGCAGACGTGGAAGGTCCGCCGGGGGCTGTGAAAGTACCCTTGAAGTACAGTTGACCCTCGACAAATACGGGAGGGTTAAGGGCACAGACCAAACACACAATCGGAAGTCTGCCTGTAATTTAAATCAGTCTTCCACATACGTGGATTCCCAGTTGCTGACTGAAAGTGCAGTTGAACTTCAAACATCACAGGTTTCAACTCTGTAGGTCTGCTCAAACACAAAATTGAAAAAACCCTTGAATATGAGGAGGTGCGCAGTTCAAACCCCACCCAGTTTTCCAAGCGTATTTCTCAGGCTCCTCACTTACCAGCAGAGTAATCTTGGCAAATTGCCTCATGACGCTGAGCCTTGACGTTCCCATCTGTGTAATAGACTTACATAACAAGTACTTACATCTTAGGCTGCGGGGCAGACTAAATGGGATAATGCATTTAAAGCACTTAGCATAGTGCCTGGCCCAGGCAAGCACTCACTGACTGGAAGCCATTAAGACATACTCTGTTCGCAAGGTTGGTATAAGCAGAGAACGCATAGGAAGGTGTCTTATAAAAAGTCCACAATGTATTGGTTACTATCCTTGTTTTACCAGGACTGTGGGTTTGAGTGCCCACACCTGTGTATCTGCCTGCTGACAAGTATCTGCCTAACATTCTGAGGGTTTTTGACACACACACCTCACGTTCCTGCTTACACAGAAGTGTGGATGTGCGAGTGTCGTGTGCATATATATGTATTGATCTAACAGGCTCCCCCTGGTGCTTTAGGGGGTCCTAAGCCAGAATACATGCCCTTTCATTGCGTGCTTTACAGGCTTTTTGGAACCTTTGCTTGATTTTTCATCTGTTCCCAAGGCCATGTCCATCCTCCAAGCTAACTTATTTGCTGTGGAGAGAAGATAAATCTGTGACTGTTGAAGAAATGGAAGTTATCAACCAAGATAGGTTTGTCCAAATATAGAGAAAGACAGTTAGCACCAGAGAGGTATTAATTGAGTACAAAATGGAAAGTTCTGGAAAGAGAAAACATATGTAAGACAGAGCTGCTAAACATACGGCCAGAAGAGATGAAGGACTGAGGTGCACAAAGACAGAGATTATGTATCTACAACCCACTCAAACAATGTTTAGACGGGAGAGTTAACTTTTAAAGGGCAGAGAGGAATACAAATCGTAGCACTTTTGCCCCGGCCGGGTAGCTCAGGAGGTTGGGGCATCGGCCCCTACACCAAAAGGCTGTGGGTTCAGTTCCCGGTCAGGACACACACCTGGGTCGCAGGTTTGATTCCTGGTCCGGTGTGTTCGGGAGGCAACAGACCGATGTTTCTCTCTCTGTCCCTCTCCCTCTTTCTTTTCCTCTCTCTGTAAAATCAATAAACATATCCTGGGGTGAGGATTAAAAAACTATAGCACTTTCAGCAAGTTTACAGCTCACAAAGCGCTCTCCTGCATCAGTGCCTTCCACACCGTTGCCTCCCGCTCGCAGCCTCCGTCCCAGCGAACAGGACCTCACTTCTCTAGCAATGGATGGAACGTGCCAGCGGGAGTCAGTGACAATCGTGACACCCAGTGTCATCGGGCACGTGGAGGAAAGGGCACAGTTACAGATTTCCAGTTGTACTGTGCATCTGTTCCTTTTTTGGTAAAGAAAAAATTGGCAAAACAAAAATGAAAATCCTGCAGGGAATGATCCAAAAGGAAAACAAATCTGCAAAAAGGCAGTCCCAGCAGCACTGTACATAGTAGTGAAGGATGTGAAACAACGCGAACGCCCAGCCAGAGGGGCCTGGGAACGGACACCGCGGTGAGGGAGGCAGCGGGTCAGAAAGCGCCCCGCCCCCGCTGACTGTAGCTGTAGGCCAACGCGTAGGTGCAGCAGGGATGTAAAAGGGGTTAATATCCATCGGGGTTTTTGCACTGTTTCTAAAAGGTGAAAAATGTGTCTCCTTTGAGCATCTGCCAGACAGAAACAGGGAAATGTGTTGAGCAAGGACGGTAAGGACAAAGGATGTCAGGTAGCTTCCCTCGGAGGGACCCCACCTTACAGGTGTGAAACTGGGGTGCCTGTGCGGGAAGCGTGATCACATGGAGTTTGTTTTTTTAAAGGTTTTATTTCTTTTTAGGGAGGGAAAAGGAGGGAGGAAGAGAGGGAGAGAAACATCAATGTGTGGTTGCCTCTTGCACGTCCCCTACTGGGGGGCTGGCCCACAGCCCAGGCATGTGCCCTGAGTGGGAATCAAACCAGTGACCCTTTGGTTCTCAGCCCGAACTCAATCCACTGAGCCACACCAGCCAGGGTGGATCATGTGGGGTTTTCCTCACACTTGGTGTGTGCGGGTGTGTTTGTACAGATACTACCACCCCAGGGGCAGGGTGAGCCGGGACCAGGAAGTCCTCAGAGAGAAGAGGAATTCGCTTCGTCACCCCCCCCCCTCAGCCCCACAGGATTCCTGATCCCAGTGAGTCAAGGGTAGGAAGGGCTGCGGGGCACAGACAAGAGGGGCTGTGTTCCCTCTTCCCCATTGATTAGGTTCCAACTTCCTTCTTTTCTGAGGTCCCCCCCATCCACCCCACTGCCCTCCAGTGTGCAGGCCCACTCTCCCCTCCACTGTGCACACCTCAGCGTCCTTTGTGCACAGGGCAGCTCAGGCCGGGGGCAGGCAGGGCTGGCGTGAGTGGTGGCGAAGACTCACCCTGGGTGCTTGGTTGGAGTTTTCATCTTCCTCCAGTTCACCCTGCTTTCCTTAACTATGAGCCAGGCACTGGGGCCAGGGAGCTGGGTGTACGCCTCCGCCTCCGTGACCTCATAGCCCAGCAGGGAAGAGGAACAGAGAAGGGAATGAGGCTCTTCAGTTCCCTGTGCCCATACTAGGAAGCAGCCAGCTGCGGACCAGAAGGAGGCCCCCCATCTGTCTGGCTGGGCAGGGGAGGCAGGCCAGGTGCGGGTGGAGTTGGAGGGGCTCAGTGCTCCCTTCTCAAGGCTGCAGTCGACCCTGTGGCTCTGCAGAAAATGGGCCCAGCATCCCCAGATCCTTCTATTTAAAAGCCTAAAATGCCTATTTTTTTTTGTGAAATTGATTTTTTAAAAACACAACATTCTTTGAGTCAATATTGTGTGAGCCAAACTCACTTTATATAATGAATATGGCCCATGGGCCCCCACTTAAGACTTCATTTGGGATTTGAGGGAGTGGGAGGCTGGAGCAGGACCCGGCCACCACAGGAGCAGCTGGCTGGGTTGGGCTCAGCGGCCCTGGAACCCAAACCAGGAACTGCCTCTCCCCGCCACCATCTCCCCTTCACCCTGGTTTCCGCTCCACCTGTGGTCATGCCCTGCACCATCAGACCACTAGATGGCACCAGGAGCCCAGCATTGCACAGAGACAGAGTGAACATGAGTCCCTGGGTCCTGAACACGAGGCCACCCAGCCACAGCTGCCCTGGGGACTTCTTGGCCTTTTCTTTTCTCTTTGAGTTTTTATGAAGTCCTAAAATCCCATTTGTGCCAGGTTGGCTCTGTCCTTGAGGCTGGAATTGCCCAATAGAAATATAACAGTACCCACCTTTTTAATTTTTCAGTAGGTACGTTAAAAAAGGTAAAAAGACACAGGTGATGTTATTTTAATAATGTTTTATTTAGCTCAGTATATCCAAAATATTATGTCAAAACAATGTACAAAGTATTGATGAAATATTTTACATTCTGTTTTTTTGTACTAAGTGTTTGAAATTCCGTGTGTTTTATACTCATGGCACGTATCACTCAGGACTAGCCACATTGCGAGCACTGAAGCCATTTGTCTGGAGGACCCGGAGTCAGGCTGGACAGCGGTAGGCCTGTGGAGGCCTCGAGTTCGGCCACCTGAGGGGTAGCTGCCAGGCTGTGACATAGAATTCCGTCCAAGCTGGATGCCGACTAGAGTCTAGGAGTCTCGGGGACCCACCCTGACACCTTCTGCAGGAAGTCTCGTGTTCAAAAACGTGTTAGCACATTTCTGGGAGTTAGCAAGGGAGCTTGGCTCCCCCCTCCCCACCATTTCAAGCCTGCTCGTGGGGTGGGTGAGGGTCTTTCTGAGGACCTAGGTGGGGAGAGAGCCCCTCCACACCCCGTGCAGGTCAGGGAGCCTCTGTCTCACTGCCCTGGAGGTCTGCAGTTTGTAAGTAATCCTGGATTTCCTTTACTGAGCAACAGTTAATTTAATGTAGTCATAGTCATCGAACCTGAACGTTTGTCCCAAGCCACTTTTTTTTAAAAGATTTTATTTATCTATTTTTAGAGAGAAAGGGAAGGAAAGAAGGAGAGAAACATCACCGTATGGTTGCCTCTTGTGCGTCCCCTGCTGGGAACTGGCCTGCAACCCAGGCATGTGCCCTGACTGGGAATGGAACCAAGATTCTTTGGTTTGCAGGCCTGAGCTCAGTCCACTGAGCTACACCAGCCAGGGCCCAAACTGCTTTTGAAACTGATTTGCCTCCCGGAGTCCTTCTAGCCCCCTGGCCTGGGCCCCTCCCCCTCCCCTCCCTCCCTGTGGCCGGCACTCACTGTCTCCGGTGCCACACCCCCTCCTGCCCCTGCGCTGCCCCTGCTGGAAGCAGCGTGTGGAAGCCAGCTGGAGACACAACCCAAAGCCATTCCTCTCTGCTAAACCGGTTCGTTTTGCTTCAGACTAGCCCCCGAACCAGATCTGACCAGAAATTGGTGTCTGGTGAGGATGCAGTTTGAGTCGGGCGTCTCTTTCCACGTCCAGGCCTTGGTCCTCTAATCTGTGATCCAGATGGATTTGAACTGTGACCCCTCTGAGGCCCCTTCCGTCCCATCTCCTCTTGTGCGTGACCTCGGGGCCTGAAACTCTTAGTTACCTGCTCCTGTAAACCACACACACACAGATACATGGATGCACACCCTGGTGGTTCCAGGTCACTATTTTGGGGACACAGAGAGAGATGCAGGGGATAGAAAAGGAGGCAGAAACGGAGGAGACATAAGGGAGCAAAGACTCCAAGAATCAGAGCAGACAGACAGCCAGGACCAAGGCCCTTCAGACTCAGCATGTGCCCCCAGGGGCCCCTAATAGGAGGACACTTGCCTACTCTTTGGCGCCGCAGAAAAGCTCCGATAGGCATGAGATGGGGCCAACACTCCCCAACACCCCTCTGCCCTTCACCTTGGCGAGCAGCTCAGAAACCCACTCAGAGGGCCCTGTGGGTCTCGGCAAGATGCTGCAGGGGCCTCACTGGCGTTTGATCTCCCCTTGGCTCCCAGAGCCCGGCCTCCATGCCTCCGGGAGCTGGAGATCACGCTCGGGGTTCAGGGCCCGCTGACTCCCTACAGATAGGAGGAGGCAGCAGCCCGCTCCAGGGGAGGAACGGCGGAGGGCTCAGGTTCCCGGGACAGTTGAAGACACACCCCCTTGAGACCCACTGTGTCTTTTTGCCTATCCAGAGCCCCCAGCTCTGCGGAGCAGGTCTTGTGGCTGCAATGGAAAGAGGAGGCCAGCCCAAGTCCCTCCGGGCTGGGCCAGGCTGGGCAGAGCAGGGCTGGGCTGGGGCAGAGGCAGAACGCTGCTGGGCGGGTCTCTGGGGAGAGGGGAATTGAAAAGGGAAAGCATCTCTGAGGAGGGCAGAGAGGGAGGGAGGCCTGCGGCGAGTACACACACACACACACACACACACACACACACAGCCGCCCTGACTTAGCCTAAGCCTCAGTCTGGAGAGAAGCATCTTCTCTCGGCTCCTGAAGCTGCTTTCTGTTGCTTCCCCGCCCATCCGTGCTGTCAGCAGCACCAGCAAAGTTGACCTCGAACTTGAACGGAACCGAAGTCTCCAGCTCCCAGGAGCTCTGCTGGGCAGCAGGCGGGACCCAGACTCCGAACTCTGTCGGCCCGGAGAAGCCCACCCTCCCAATCTACAGCCGGCCTTTGCTCCCTGGGGACACTTCTGCCTCTGACCCGTGGGCCCCCAGGCTGGGCTGAAGAATGGTGCGCTGAGGTCCCTCTGGAACCCCCTAATCACAGCCTGGACCCGAAGCAGCCCAAGGCCCAAGCTGACATGGCCAACCCCGTGCAGCCTCAGTTTCCCCCGGCGCAGGAGCCTGGCACCACCTCACCCCCAGACCTGCCTGAGATGGAGATGCTTCTCACCAAGGTGGGGGACCAGGATGACAAGCCCCCGAAGCTGTCCAAGTCCCTGTCAGGGGCTCTGGACCTGGAGCAGAATGGCCATGGCCTGCCCTTCAAGGCAGCGTCCAGGGGGCACCAGGAGGCTTCACTCCCCCGGTCGCCCTCTCGCACCAGCTCCAGACGAGCGTCCTCTGTTGCCACCACCTCCTATGCCCAGGACCAAGAAGTCCCCAGAGATTACCTCATCCTGGCCATCGCCTCCTGCTTCTGCCCCGTCTGGCCCCTCAACCTCATCCCCCTCATCTTTTCTATCATGGTAAGTGCTGCTGTTTGCTCCAGGGCGGGGTCTGGGCCCAGGGGCAGCAAGCACGCTCCCTGGTGCCTGGTGTGGGTGTTGGGAAAAGAGAGCTGGGTGCTAGGAGCTGGGGGGGGGGGGCGAGACTCCCTCTCTCGTCTGGCCCACTGCTCCCCTGGGAGAAGGGCCCAGGGGTCAGGAGAGCTTTTGTTTGCTGTCCTCTCTCACCTCTGCTTCTGGATCCAGCTTGACTTTGCACACAGCCCTGCTGGGTAAGGGGCCCCAGGGAGCCCCCGGGTCTAAATTCCTAACTACAGAAAAATAGCCAAGTGGGGGGGGAGGCTTGTCTTTGGTGGTGGGGTGGCAGAGGGTTCTCCTGAGGAGTCATTCCAGAGCAGAGCTGTATTATCAGCAGAGGTTGCAGCTGGCATGGAGTCCCAGGGCCCACATTCTCAGGAGGGGAGCCAGCCTCCCCACAGTGCCCCCTGCACCTCACCCCGGGCCACCTGGGTACTCTCGGACCCTTTACCAGCTCTGGTTTCCAAAAGCCAGAGGGGGCTTCCCTGCCACACACTGGGGGCCTCTGGGCCTTGGTGCATGTACTGATTTCACATCTGTCCTCAGGGTAGGGGAGGTCCGAGCCCCAGGTGGAAAACGTGGCAGAGGGCATGGCTAGACTTGCCAAGGAGGGCACGTGGCTTCTCACACACTTGTGCCGCAGGGTTTTGAGTACATTGCCTCAGACTGTCCCCAAACCAAGACACTGGGATAGAGCTCCTGACAGAGGCCACAGAAAACGTCAGTAGATGTGACTTTTGAGGTCTAGGAAGAAGAGAGAGAGAGAGACGGGGCAGGCATTGACTTCTGGAATAAAGTTGGGAGCCGGAGGCAGTGAACAGCTGGTTCAGGGCTGGCGGAGGCCAGAGGACTGGGTGGGGAGAGACTATCTGCTTCCCTCTTCAGTGACGTCACTGCTGAGTCATCTATCCCCAAGCCCTGAGGAGCTGTGGTCACTCTTGCTGCTCCCGCTGTGCTCTCAGAAAGTCCCTATTTTCTCACACTTCTGTGTCTACCCCACTGATGCCCAGTCCCCAGATGCGGACACCTCCCCCGGCCCCCACCAAACCCAGCACACCTGCCGGGATGTCACTGGCAGTGTGCCTAAGTCGGAGGGACTTGGCGTGGGCACAAGAGCCAGGGCTGGGCAGGCCCCAGGGTGGGGTCTTCCCGTGTGCCCGCTACACTGGGGACAGCTGGGGGCAGGGCCAAGCCCCAGGGGCAGCCAGCGCTCTGGGCGGGGCCGCCTCTCCATCCTGAGGAGAAGCCCTGGAGGGGAGGCAGCTTTAGGGAGGAAAACCACACAAGGGCCCAGGGGAGCACAGTTGCTAGACTCTGTCTCCTGGCAGGGGTGGCAGGGTGCAGGCGGGCAGGTAGAGCTGCCTTTGTCATAGGAAACCTGAGCCCCAGACTGTGACACCAGTGAGCCCACTCTCGAATTTCTACATCCTCCTCAAGTTCTTGAGTCAGGCGTGATCGTCACCGGGCCAGGGGCAGGGAACAGGGTGCTAAAGCAGACACCATCGCCAATTCCTGGGAGCCTCCAGGCCCCTGGGAGAAACTTGTAAACAGATCCTTACAACACATTTCGAGAAGTATTCGCCCTCGAAAAAAATGACAAGATATTATGTTGCCTCGGGCAAGTGACTCAAACTTCTCTTCTCAATATTCCCATCTGCAAAATGGGCTGTCGCCTTAGCGCCTACCTTGTGGAGCTGTGTGAGGGTGAAGTGAGACGGGCCCTAGAGAGTGCCTAAGAACAGCACCAGCACGCAGGCCGGCCGGCCGCTACACCGGACGGCGATTCGGCGGCAGCGCCCGCCTCCCTGGTGAGGGCTGGGACGCATCACGGGTTTGCTGTGGGGATCTTTTAGAGCTTTGAAGTAGGATTCACATAGCGTACAATCTGCTCGTCTAAAGCGCATGATTCAGTGGCTTTCAGTATATTCACAGTTCAGTGCAACCATGGCCACACTCCATGTTAGAACATTTTTCTCAGCTCCAAAAGAAATTGTGCCTTTGTTCTATCACCACCCCCTCTCCACCTCTTCCTCAATCCCTCCCACACCTGAGCGACCGCTGATCTTTCTGTCTGCATGGATTGGCCTCTTCTGGAGGTTTTATATAAATGGAATCAGACGGCATGTGGTCCCTCGGCGACTGGCTTTGTTCACACCTGGCGTAGTGTTTTCAAGCTCCGCAGGGTTTGGAGTCAGATTTCCATTTTGGAGGACCGGTCCTGTGTAGGGTGAAAGGAGGGACCAACGGGGCCCTTTTGAGTCTGGCATTTGAGGAGGGGACCTGTGCAGGGGTGCAGGTGAGAGTGACGGGGCCGGGACCATGGCCGGGACAGGGGGACCTTCTCACAGTGGTACCACGGGTCTTCCATTCCGTCGACCATTCTCTTGAATGGCGAGTTGCTTGTTTGGAGGGAACTACGTGGTGCGGGATAATCAGGACCCGTGAATGAAGGTGTCTTTACGCACCAGGCACCGCGTTAGACCTTGGGAAGTGGTCAGACAGGACGAGGCCTGTTGGGCAGGAGAAAGATGCGGGTGGGCGGTGGTCCAGGGAGGCGGGCAAGGGCCTGCTCCGGGAATTCAACTTTCATCCTAGTGCTCTCAGGAGCCGCTAAAAAAATTTAGGCAGAGGTGTGATGCGGTCAGATCCTATTTTAAAACCAATACCCAACAGCATTGTGGGCAATGGATCAGAGCGGGCAGGATGGGGATCGGGGAGACCCCGCAGGAGGCTCTGGAGACGCCCGGGCAGCAAGGGCCTGAGCTAAGCAGCGGGCCCAGAGAGGCGGGCACCAGGGGGGGACTGCTGAGCAGGTGGGAGCAGTGATGGCTCCTGGCTCCCGGATATTCACCCCCAAAACAGTGGAGCTGCCTTAGAGAAAGCTCCGCAGCACGCAGCATGTGAGGGGTGGGCAGAGGAAAGAGGGCAGAAGAGGTTTTCGAAAAGAAGACCCCAGGGGGTGGGAGGAAAGCTGGAAAAGAGGGAGGGACACCCAGGTGGGAGCGAGTCTGAAGAAGAAAGAGGGAGTCGTCAAACGTTGCGGAGAGATCAGGTTCAATAAGGATGGCAGTGTCCCCTGGCTGGGCCAATCACAGACCCCTGGGGGCCCTGGGGACCCTGGTGATGGATAAGCTTGGGTAGAAATGACTGATGAGGTGAGTTCCCTGAAGAGCAGAGTGATGGGACTAAGAAGAAGGACCTCCTTCCCAGGAGCTGGGAGGAGAGGCCGTGAGGGCAGAAGCAGAGAGAAACTCAAGGAAAAGGAAGTTGGTTCACGCTGTAGGGGCCCCATGCCGCCAGGGACAGGGAGGGCAAGTGCTTTGCTGAGAAATAAGGGCCTGACGGCAGAGGAGAGGAGTGGTGACTAGGGATGGACGGGTCAACGGCCCGAGGGCTCCGCTGAGGCTGGAGACCATGGGTGAGCTGTTATCAGCCTGCACGGTGGTGTGGCTTTTGTCCAGCTGCAGATAGAGAGTCACTGACGCGGCTGGGACCACCCAAACCTGGGGATGGTAGAACTGCCATGAGGGCAGGACCAGAAGGTCCTGAGGGATGGCACAGAAGATGTAAGCCAGGATCCGGCTGGACTGGGAGGGGTGAGGCCAGGAAGATGGCTATAGCCTTGGCAGAGACGGAGGCTGGTCACAGGCTGGGGCTAGGAGAGGTCCAGGGGCAGGTGCTATGAGAGAGCAAGGGTGAGACAGAGATCGGGGGCTTGCGATTCCAGAGGAGGAGCCGAGGCAAGTGTGGAGTATAGTCGTGGAAATGAATTTCTAAAGGGAACTGTCAGGAGCCAGAGAGAAGGAACCTGAGGAAGCCCAGGGTGAGGAATATTACTAATACCATGTGCTTGCTAAATGTTAGGCACTGGTCCAGATACTTTATGTGTATTATATCGTTTAAGTCAGACTACAATTCTGTGAGGTCTAGGTATTGTTACTACTCTCAGTGTGCAGGTGAGAAAACGGACATATGGACGTGTGAAATAACCTGCTAGCTAGTGACCGGGAGCCCAGGACGGGGTGCCCAGAGGCCAAGCTCTCGTTCCCACTCACTCCACAGCCTGCCTCCTGAATCAGAGGGCGCCCACGTGGGGAGCACTGTTGGGTGCGCCCACAGCTTCTGTCTTTCCTCTTCTGGGAGCCGGTCAACTTCATAGGAAACTCCCACTTCCCAGGGAGGGAGGGCGTGGGTTACGTACCCAGGGCTGAAACCCTCGGTCCCGCCCAAGCAGCATTAGGGCAAAGGAGGGCCGGAGAGGGTGGAAAGGCAGCTGGTCTCCGGGGCTGCCGTCTCGGGTCCTGGGACAGACTTCAGAACTCCTCGTCCGAGGCCCTCCCACTGGTTACCAGGTGAAGGGCCAAGCCTGGGATCTGGGCTGGAAGGAGGCCCCCATCCCCGAGCTTTTCTACAGCTTTACTGTCTGCAGAGTGTGCCCTGACATGCGGCTCACAGAGTCTGGCTAGACGTCCCCACTTCACAGATGAGGCACCTGGGACGCACAGAATAGTACGTTGTCCACGGTCACACAACTGGCAAGAGCCACATCAGCTGCAAGCTGACCCCAGTGTTCTGTCCATGGTCCCACCCTGCATCTCCCCCTGGGCATGAGGATGGCGTGCCCCTTCCAGGGAGGCCAAACCTTGTGCAGGGTGGGAGGAATTTCCCTTCCTTCTCTGTTTCCCTGTGCCCCCACCACTGTTCTCCCTGCCCCCAAATCCATCAGGGGAAGACAATGGACCCTCAGCACCCTTGCCACGGTGGCTTTCTGCCCACTACACAGCCTTTGACAGTGGCCTGCGGGCCTGGTGGTTCAGGGGCTGTGTCTGAGTTGTCCAGACTCAGCGGTGCTCAGAACCAGGCCTCCCAGGAGCCTCCTGCGGTGGCCAGGGCAAGGCTGGCTTCATCCATTTAACTTCTGGGTCAGGCTGAGAATGGCCCCC